TACCCCAAAAAGGAAATTAAAAAACAGTATCTTTAACAATAAGTACCCAAAAGATAAAATCGTTAGGAATAGACCTAACTAGAAAAATTAAAAAGACTATACAAAGGAAACTATAAAATACTTCCACAGGAAACCAAGAGACTTACATAAACAGAATGTCCCATGTTCATACATAGGAAGACATAATATATTGAAGATATCTATCCTACCAAAGGCACTCTATAACTGCAATGCAATTATGATCCAAATCCCAGCACAATTCTTCAAAATGAAAAACTAATCATCTGCTTAATATATAAAAAAGAGACACCCAGGATGAGCAAAATACTACTTGGGGGGAAAAAGGAGTCCTCTCCCTCCCAGATTGAAAACCTATTACATAGCCATGGCGATCAAACCTGTTTGGTATTAGTACAGTGATAAATATGTAAACAATGGATCAGAACAGAGAACTATAGGCACCAGATTTTTTAAAAAAGATTAACACACATGAGTTGGAAAAGAGACAAATTTTCACCAAATAGTCATGGAAAAACTAGATCTATATCTGCAAAGGAATGAAATAGGGGCAGTAACTCGACATATACAAAAATGAATTCAAGATGGATTAAAGGTTTAAATATAAACCCTAGAAGTATAAAGACCATCCATGAAAAAAGAAGAGCAAATTTAAGGGCCCTAACCCTAGTACAAGGCATCAATATACAACCAAATGTCCGGAAAAATACCCGTATTATGGAAAACAAATAGAGGACTGGGACCTCTTAAAAATATTACATTTGGAAACCGATCACAGTGATCTACATGTAATCCCCTCCCAGAAGAGTGGGTGAAGGGAAACATCAGTCAGTGTAAGACATGAAAAAATAATAATAATTTATTAATTATCAAGGGTTCATGAGGGAGTGGGGGGGTGGGAATGAGGAGCTGATACCATGGGCTCAAGTAAAAGGAAAATGTTTTGAAAATGATGATGGCAACAATTGTACAAATGTGCTTGACACAATGGGTGTATGTATGGATTGTGATAAGATCTGTCTGAGCTCCCCCCACCCCCCGCAAATAAAATGATTAAAAAAAATTTTTTTTAAATGACATTTATGTACAGCAAAAGACTTTATAAAAAGAGAAGCCACCAATTGGGGAAATCTTTGATCAATGATATACCAGATACAGGGCTAATCTCAAAATTCTACAGAAAACACTTTAATAAGAAAAACACAAATAATCAAAAAATAGAAGACATAAACAGACATCCAGGTGGCCAACATCATATGAAGAAATGCTCAAATCATTAGCTATAAGAGAAATGCAAATTCAAATGACAATGAGAAAGTTTTTAAAAATAATATAAAACAACAAATGCTGGAGAAGACTTGGAGATGGGAACACTCCTACACTGATGGTACAATTGCAGAACTGTGCAGCTACTATGGAAAATAGGATTGCAGTCCCATGACAATGGTGAATAGAAACACCTTATGATCTTGCAACTCTGTGCTTGGTCTCTAACCCAAAGAGATAAAGAATAAAACACCAACAGATGTATGCACACCCATGTTTATCAAAACACTATCTATAAAAGCAAAAAGATGGAAACAACTGACAAGCCTGACTATGGAAGAATGGATAAACAAACTCTAGTACACGCGTGCAAGGCACGTACTGCATCTCCAAAAGGCAATGATGAAACTGGCAGGTACTTCACAGCACAGAGGAATTTGGAAGACATTCTGCTCAGCCAATTAGTCATCTCATACAAATACTGTATGACACCACTATTATAAAAAAAAAACAACTAAGAAAAAGGTTCCACATCAAAAAGCAGCAGTATGAAGGCTTTGGCCAGGCTAGGGCCGGGAGGGGTGGCGGTGGGAAGGGAAACAAACAGTATCCACATCACTGGAGGGCATGCTGGGGCTCCGTTCACTGAGTTGGGCTGGGCTGTGTTTCTCACAAAAGAAAAAGGTCAGACTTGAGAACCCCAAGAAACCCTCAACTTCCCTTCCCCATCAGATCTAAACATGGTTTACAAGGGTTTACAGGAGTGAAATATAACAATGGAACTGACTGCAACGCTTTTTCAAAGTTAAAAAACTAATCAAACTGTATGTCAGCTCCATACATTTTGACCTGTTTCTCCAATGTACTAGGTTCCTTCACACAGGGGCCTTCCGTAGGCTTATCTTTTCCATCTTGTATACCTCAGCATAACCCCCTGAATGCTACAACTGGAAGGTCCCTACACAATTGCCCTACATCATGCCCACACCTCCAATAGGCTGAGATGTGAGGCCCAGACCCACACTCACCCTAGTTTGCCTGCCTTGAACCTAGACCCTCAACTAATACTGGCCAGCTGAGTAAACCCTTTGTGGACTGGACCATAGTTGTGTTAGGTTGGTTGCACTGAAGGTCCTAGCTCCTTTTATGTAAGGACTGTCCCTTTACTCACTTTGTTCCCTAAACTCTAGCACACAGGCCAAAACATGGCAGGCATCAATATAGGCCAGAATATGGATGGTTCAGAGAGGTGAGCATTTATTTTCAGTGCTTAAGAAGCACTCCTAAGTCATTCTGCCTAGAAATCTGTAGATGGCCCGCTGTTGAGTGCAAATTCTAAATTTTAAGAGCCAGGTTTCTCCGGCTCCCCTGTGGTCCCTGACCTGTCTCCTTTCACTAATAAAGAACCTGCTGCCTGCCCATTCCCAGTCAGCCCACCCCTCACCTGTCCACACTCATCAGAGGGCCTGTTCTGGTTTTTGGTTTGTAGACTGACTCATAGGTTTAAGGGCACAGGTTTTACTGAACAAAACTGAGTTCAAGTGGCAGCCCCTGCCTTTGAATGACAACTTAACCTTAAAAAAAGACAAGTAATGGAGCCCTGGTGGCATAGTGGTTACACATTGGGCTTTGATTCACATGGTTGGCAGTTCAAAACCACTGCAGCTCTGTAGAAGATGGGACTTTCTGTTCCTGTAGCGTAATAGTCTCCTAAATCCACAGGGGACATTCTATTAAAAAAACAACAACAGCCTATCCTATGAGGTTACCTCTATATTCTAGGACTGGGATTGGTTGGCTGACAGGTACAGGGACAAGCCACAGCAAAGAATATTCACTCTACCAGTTGCTATGACTGGCACTAGCCCAAACCATGAGAACAAGAACTAGAAGGGGTGGGTGGGGAGGGATCACCAGTTTTCGAAGTGCTTAAGGTCACACTTGCCACCCTACCAGAGGGCAGGCACCCTGGTATGAATTACTGCTGGTGTGGACACTGTCTTAGCAGCAGTATCAGAAAGCTTAGGGAAGACACCGGAATGGTGGTTAAGAGCAGGACGGTGGTAACCAGGTAGGTCGGGTTTCTACTGGCTTAAGTCTTGTATCTGCTTTGGGACCCTAGCTAAGCCAGAGGACTTCTGGGCCGCAGCACCATCATCTGAAATGGCGACAGCGGCCTTTCCCAAGGGGCTGTCAGAACATAATATGACCGTGTGCTTAGCACAGAGCCCTCTACGTGCTTGCCCTGCCTCAGCAGTTCCCAATCAGGGACAGTCCAAAGAGCACTGGCTTTGTACCTGTGAACGAAGAAAACTATGAAGGCACTCAAAGTACCCCGTCTTCTCTGTGTTCTGCAATACCTGGAAATGTCAGGGGCAAGGAACCGTAATAGTGGCAGGTCGGCAAAGCACACATTGGCCTCCAAGGGAATTTGGCTTAGCTTTAGAGGTCAGCAGACCTCATCTTATGTGTTTCAGTGCCCTCTGCAGTCCACCTCCCCAGTGAGCAGCATGGCAAGACCACGAGCCAAGTGCAGGAGCTGTCAGCAGCAGTCCTAGCTCCTTGGCTTCTGTGTGCGATCCAGACGTGGTAGTTCTAAAAATAAACAAGCTTTGGCAGTTCTCAGAATGCAGCGTACAAATGCCACTCCCTGGCTGGCTGCACATCCCACCTGAATTGAGCAATTTGCCTTCCTATCAGACACATCCTCCAAACCAAAAACATTGCCATCTAGTTGATTTTGACTCATAGTGGCCTAGAGGACAGAGTCAAGTTGTCCCTGTGGGTAGCAAATCTCATCTCTGTCCCATGGAGCTGCTGGTGGTTTTGAACTGCTGATCTTGCAGCTAGCAGCTCCACACATAATCCACTATTAGCACCATAGTGCTGTCAGAAACCTTAGCTTCTGGAAAATCCTCAGGAAAGTAATAGGAGCAGGGAATACCAATCCCCGAATAATCTGAGGTCTTGCTAAACCCAGTCCTAGACACTGTATCTAACCCTAACCAGAGATCCCACATCCTCTCCGCTTTCTAAAGTGGCACTTGCCTTTTGTCTGGCTCCTTCTTAAGGAAATACTCAAGCATTTCCTTCATTTTTCTTCACTACTTTCTCCTGACTGTTCCTCTCCCACCCCAACTTCCCGTGATGCTCCCTGACTGCCTTAAAGTACCTAATCAGCAGGGGGTGTTAGTGACAGTGAGAACAGCAGGAGGCAGCTGACCCAGAGGCTTGATCCAAGCAATACTTTTTTTTTTTTAAATCATTTTATTAGGGGCTCATACAACTCTTATCACAATCCATACATACATCAATTGTGTAAAGCACGTTTGTACATTCATTGCCCTCATCATTCTCAAAACATTTGCTCTCCACTTAAGCCCCTGGCATCAGGTCCTCATTTTTCCCCCTCCCTCCCCGCTCCCCCCTCCCAATCCAGGCAATACTTGAACATGGGACCTTCAACTTCTCCAGGTCCAAGGATGAGCTGGCGCTGGAATCCTCCTGCAAATGGGAGCCCAGAAGCAACCGAGCAACTTGGGTATGGATCCAATGAAAGGACAATGTGTTTGTACACTATGATGCCGCGCATGTGCTTACTACATATTTTTGCATGTACAAAACTGTTCAGGAAGGAACCTCAGGAGACATGGGCTGCTAACCATAAGGTTAGCAGTTCAAAACCACCAGCTGCTCAGCAGAAGGATGAAGCTTTCTACTCCCCGAAAAGTGTTACAGTCTCAAAAACCCACAGGGACAATTCAACTTTGTCCTACGGAGTCACTATGAGTTCGAGGTGACTTGAGAGAGGTGAGTGTGAGGCTCTGAGGAAGACCACTGAAAGACTGGATTGTGAGATAGCTTTTCCTAGGCCCCACTGACTTTACCATTTGAATTTATTTGTGTGGGGGGGGTGTAGTTGTTTCCCTTGAGGTAGAGGGAATATAGTTTCTGAGCCAGAGAAGGAGGCACATGTACCTGCCAGGTAGGTGGATACCCAGATGTGATCCAAGACATAAGTCCGCAGAAGCTGAGCAGCAAGGACTCTGGGCCAGAGCACAGCATAAATCAGAAGGGACGAGGGCAGGTTTCAGTTCACTGTGACCGAGTTATCAGTTCTTCTGTCACGAAGTCCCATCCTCTTACTGCCAAGGTCTCTGGGACAGTCCCTGTCAACATGCTAGAAGCCCATAGAAGCATCGAAATACTGTTATGGGGCAAAGTGCCAAACTGGCCTTGCCTACAGTGGTACTCTGGGCTTCTAGTGTGCTTGCGCTGGGGCAGGCTTTCAGACAGCAAGTGGTCCAGGCCACCCAAGTGCTGGGTTGGAAGAGTTCAGGAGGGATTCTTGGCAGGTCTGAGCTTCTGTCCTTGGTGCTTGAAACTACGGAGTGGGTTCTGGGTCTTCCCCTTCTGTGATAGAGCAAAGCAGTGGATTAGCTGGGTGTCTGGCCACCTGTCCGCCCTTCCTGAGCTAAGAAGGGCTACTACTTCCAATGCCCTCGTGCTAGACACTGATTGTGGACCAGCCTCCATTCTCTGGCATTTACCCCTTGACTGTGCTTCAGTGGAGACATGCAAACTCCCTGCTGTGTCTAGCAGGAACGGGGGGTGGGGGGGAGACCCTGCAGCTGCCCATCAAAACTCAATGGCTGTTACCTTGACCTTCCGGTGGGAGGAAGGCTTCTTCCGCTTCTTGTGAGGGTGGACGACTCCACGAAGAGTGGGAGGGACTGAGGAGAGATTGCAGATGCTCAAAGCCCAGCACCCTCAGTGCCCCACCCTGCATGCCTGCGCCCCTGCACCCTCCCCAGTGGCCCGAGTCCCGCAGTCCCTCCACCAGAACCAGCTTCCTCATGGTGCCAGCCAGACTCCAGCTTCTCTGTCTGCACACTCCTGCTCAGGGAGCACACACCCTCAACAAGCAGGAGACGTGCCAGCCTGCTTCCTCAGAGCTGAACGCAGCCTGTCACAGACGGGCTCCACACGTGAAGAAGGAACCCCTCGCACCCGAGTCAGCTCTCCGGGAACATGAGGATGCACACAGAAAGGGTCAAGCTTTTGGACTCCGAGGGGCAAGGCGTGGGCCCCAGAAATCTTTAGAGATCTGCCCCTACTTCCTAGTGGTGACAGCCAGGGCCATTCCTCATCTTCAACACGCCCGCCGCTGCTCCCACCCCTCCCTGCCTTCAGCCCTGGAGTCACTCTCCCCTTAGCTCCAGGAGCACCCTCCTGCTCACCACTGCTCTCCCTTGCCTGTCTCTTGTTCCCCGCCTTCGGTGCTGTCACCCACAGACCTGCTCCTCTGTGGTTCTGCCCAGAGCTGCTGGCCTCGGCCTTGGTGTCTCAGTCCCCAGCCTCCGACCATGGCAATGGCTCTGCTCTTCACTCTTGCCACACTCCCCCAGCCCATGCCCTCAGCAGCCAGCGATTTGCTCAGTCTTCCACCGATTAGCTCTGCAACCAGCCCACCACTCCCACAGTGGAGACAGCAGAACACAGCTCTGGGACCATTGAGGTCACTTTGAATGAGCGAACACATCTACAGTGGCATTCCCAGTCCCCAAGCACAGGGCCTGGCAACGGCCCCACCCGGGCTCTCCCAGCTTTTGTCTGCCTGTCCCTCTCCCCAGTCTCCCGACCTGCCCAGGGCAACCCTCACCCAAATAGTCAGGAACATGGCCCAGCTGAGGTTTCACAATTGCAGGGTGGAGGGGCAGGTCGTGCCGTAGCAGCTGCAGGTCCCGGGGGTTGTCTTCAAAGTATGTCTGACATGGAAGAGAAGGGACCACAGTAAGGTCTGCATCATTCTTTGTAAGGGATAGTCATGTGTCAAAATGCCACCCTCCCAAGCAGCAATATGTGTTGCCTTCTATGAATATATGCACACATGCCCACACACCTGTTACACACGTACATGACCCTGAATGTTACACAAATAGCAACAGGCTGTAACAAGCAGCCTCCTGGTTCTTTCCTCCATGTGGGAGTACTGGGCTCTCTCGGGGCAGGGAAGCTCCAGCTCTGGGGCCTCCGAGGAGTGAAAGCATGAACGCCAGCGAACACCACACAAACGGCACACGAACGTCACATGACCACCAGCGAACACCACACACCGCTGCAAAGAGCAGCAGTTCCAGCCACCAGTTGGGGGTTGGACTGGGGGAACCAAGAATGATGTTATACATATCCAAATGGCCTTAGACAAAAAAAGGAAAAAGTCCTCCACTCCTGTCCTAAAGTTAAAGCCTCGGCTTCTCCGGCTGCCACCCTTGGGAGGATGACCACATCGCCACAGATGCCAGTCAGGATGGCTGCTCTGTGATCTGGAGCGCAGCTCAGAGAGAAGTTTCCCGCAGCAGGGTTGAAATCAAAGGCTATAGGAAGTTGTCATTCGGGCAGGCGGGGCCAAAGAATGGTCTCAACAGTCCCACCAGCCACGCCCACTGTTTTTCCCCACCAGCAAGAGCCACTGCCGGCCCCCCGCCCGCCGCCGCAGGCTGGCAGGGCAAAGGGCAGGCCTCTCACTCAGCTTTATACTCACCTTGAGCTTCTCTGAGCGCAAAAGCTCTTCTTTCACCTCCTTCAGCCTCGCCTCCCGGATGCCTTGTTTCGTCACAGAGCGCATGGCATCCTGGGAGCAAAGGTGGCCATCAGTACAGTGTGGCTGCCCAATCCACCCCGTGTACTCCCGAATAATGACCACCTTATCCACCGCTTCCCTGCCCTCCAAGGCCCCCTATCTGGCTCACCCTGCAGCGGTAGCGGAAGCCTTCAATCTCCTCCATCTGGAACTGGTAGGGCAGTAGGACAGGGGTCCCCTTCTCTGTGGACAAGGCAGCATAAGTCCACCCGGGCTGAGGGCAGTCTCCCCAGAGGCCATGTGCACAAGCCCTGCTGTACTCTAGGACTTCCTCTGAGCCCACAGGCGAGGGAGGCCTATGTGCCCTGACCTCCCCCTGTACAAGTGCTCTCTGGTGCGTGCACCAGAACACTACAGGGAGTGCCAGACCCGAAGGCAGTGCCCACGGGTGTTAGGGACTGCTGTCACTTCATGGTCAAAGCACACCAACAATACAGGTGCCACATTGCAGATACAGAAAGTACTTGTACTACCAAGTGTCACTCAACTTTTCAGGTACAGAAATTAAGGCACAAATTCTTCCCAATGTCCCTCCCCACCTTACTACCCCAACCAGTCCCAGGCACATTCACTGAACAAACCACTTCCATCAAGTGGATCCGAACTCTTAACCCTATGCAGACTTTTCCAAGGCTCTAAACCAGGGGTCCTCAAATTTTTTAAACAGGGGGCCAGTTCACTGTCCCTCAGACCCGTTGGAGGGCCGGACACTATAGTTTAAAAAAAAAAACTATGAACAAATTCCTATGCACATATCTTATTTTGAAGTAAAAAACAAATGGGGCAAAAACACCTGGCAGGCCAGATAAATGTCCTCGGTGGGCCGCATGTGGCCCGCGGGCCGCAGTTTGAGGACCCCTGCTCTAAACATTCACAGGAGTAGATAGTCTCATCTTCCTTCTGCAGAGTCCTGGTGATCTTGAACCGCCGACCTTGAAGTTAGCAGTCTAACACTTACAGCTCCAGGGATCCTCCACACCCACGAGTCTCAGTTAAAAGGTCTCCTGAGTCCTACTGCCTATGACGTACCCAGAGGCTCCAACCATCTAGAGTCTAGCTGAACAGGTCCTTTTCCAGGCATCCAGGAGGTAAAGGGCTAGTCCACAAAATTCCCACCAGGATACGCTATAGCCGCACTCGGAGGGCTCTCTGGATTCTGCCAGGAGTCTTCCCCTCCCTGTCATGCTTCTCTGCAGCACTGGATGCCACCTGGTGCAAGGCAGGACTTTTGCTCCTAAACCGGGGTGGGCTTGGAGCTGCCAGCCCTGTGTGCTGCATGATGTGGCACCTCTCCTCTCCACGGGCCTCCATTTCCCCCTCTTCTCCCAGGGTCACCTACTTAGACATATGCCAGCCTCTTCAGGACATCGCCCAAGATCTGAACCCCTCCCTCTGGCCTTCTGCCCTGTGAGGCAGATGTGTACAAACAGGACTTTGAACAAGTTACTTGACCACTCTGAAGCCTGGTTACTCAATGGTATACTGGGGTGCAGTGCCTGCCACACAGAACGTGGGGGGGGCATGGTTAGGATCGCATGTGGCCATGCGTGTCACACACTGACCACAGGACCTGGCACATGAGTCATACAAGCTAGTAGCTGTTTTGTCACAATTTTCCCTGCAGTTCTTAATCCTGTCCCCATTACCACCCAATGCAGTCCAATGTTTGAGAGCAGAGGCCTGGCCCATACCCAGGAAAGTGGGGCTCTTTTTTTTTAAAAAACATTTTATTAGGGGCTCATACAACTGTTATCGCAATCCATACACACATCAATTGTGTAAAGCACATTTGTACATCATTCTCAAAACATTTTCTCTCCACTTAAACCCTCGACATTAGATCCTCATTTTTCCCCTCCCTCCCCGCTAGAAAGGGGGGCTCTTACCTCCACTGAGCAGCTCCTCAATCTTGCCTAGGTGGGTCTGCTCTGTGGGTAGCACAAAGGTCAAGACTATACCCGGGTTGTTGGCACGTGCTGTCCTGTGAGGGAAGACGAGCTAGAAACCTGTCTCCCACCCCAGTTCCCTACCCACCCGTCATGCTCAAGTCCTCCAATATGCCTGACCCATACCTTGCCCCAGAGTTGCAGCCCTACCTGCCAGCTCGGTGGATGTAAGCCTCAGGGGTGGGTGGAAGATCGAAGTTGAGCACTAGAGACACCTGGTGGAAGTCTATACCCCGGGCCACACCAGCCTCGGGATCAGAGGCCCTGCAGAGACAAACCAGGTCAGCAAAACCACCTCCTCAAGCAGATTCTCGTGGGAAGCCCAGCACCCCCCCACAGGACCTTAACGTCAGAAACGCTCGGGGAGTTAGAACAGGGTGAGGCAGTTTCGTGCCTCCCAGAGTAGCCAAACCCCTTCACCTCAATCATGAGGAAAAGCTGCAGAGCTATAAGCTAGTGGCCCTTAGAGGACACAACAGGACACTTTCCTTTCCCCAGCCTTTCCGTAGCTGCCCAATGTGAAACCCTCGGACAGAGCCACCCTCAGGCACAACCCCTGCCCACTGCAGGCTGGGCACCACGCAAGTCAACCACCAGGCACACGTACAGCCTTGACCTTAGTGCTGCTGCCCAGAGCTTGTGTGGTAAATGCCCTCACCCCCTCCCTTCACTCTATCATGCAGGCCTCCAAGCCCATCTGACGCTGTGCTTTTCCTCAAAGCTGGCACACAGGCCTTTCCAGGGTTACAGGAGAATAAGGAAAGTGGCCGCACCTGTCTCCTTTGGCTCCTCTGCCCCGCCGTTTGCCCTTGAGGGGGTTCCCCAAGATTTCAGCGTCAGTTGCTATGACACAGTCATAAAGGCCCTGGTTGAACTGTGCGATGATGTGGCACCTGTGACCAAGAGTGGGAGAGTAAGTCCCAGAATGCACAAGGCAAAGGAAAGCCCCATGCCCACCCCCACAGCATCACTAGGAGCAGCAGCCTTTACCCCTTTACCGTGGTCCTCCTTTTCTTCCCAACTTAATCTCTGAGCCTCAACACCCTGCATCAGAGCTGTGAGTCAATGCACATCCCATCCAGGGCCCGGCCCTTTCAAAGGCTAAGAACACAGGACAGCAGCTGTGTCTCCTTTTCTATTCCTATTACTTCAACCGAGACAGCAGAAGCAGCAAACCTGGAGCGCAGTGGGAGTTCCCCATTGAGGACGCAGGCAGGAATGCTGAACTGCTCCAGGAACAGGCGGAGCCGGTAACTCCGCTCCAGAGTGTTGACAAACAGCAAGGACTTGCCCTGGATCAGCGACAGCTTGAGTAGGGCATACAGCAACAGAAATTTGTCCTCTTCAGTCTCACAGACCACCTGAAACTGTTGAAGCTGGTCTGGCCCTGGTAGCTGGGACTCCTGTAACTTGAGGATAACCTAGAACAAGGACAGGCCTGCAGTGAGGACGGAAAGACAAAAATGCCACCAGACACCACTGGCTCAATAAACAAAGCATAACTATTTTAGGATAAGGCAGAGCTACTAGTAAGAAAAACTGGGTACCCTATGTTCTTTGCCTGCTCTGTAATCTACGAAGTCAGCATGCCTTCACTGTTGGGGCATGTTCCTGTCAGTTACCATCAAGCTGCTTCTGACTCCCCTGTGACCACCGACCAGAGAGGTGAATCGCCTTGCTATCATGCAGCATGCATTGGAAAGTGGATTGCTGCAGATGCAGTTAGGTTAAAATTTAGCATCCTATCATTTGGTCTCCCTTGTGATCCATTTAAATGTTACAGTTTTTAATATTTTCTGCTTTCTTTTCAATTGAAGTTTTAATGTTTTCCTTTGTTACTCTTGTTGTTTTTAAATCTTTTGCTGTATATGAAATCCAGGACAAGTCAAATTTATAGAAACAGTAACTGGACTAATGGTTCCCTGAAGGTATGGCAGGGGATGTTAGGGGGAAATGGGGAGCTAATAGTGATAAGTACAAGAACGAAGAAAATGTTCTAAAACTGATTGTGGTGATAATTGTACAACCCTTCTTGATGCAACTGAACTATTAAATTGTGTTTGTGCATTATATGCCAATAAAAATACTGGGATAAAATTCTGATTCTGACTCATGGAAACCCACGTACGCAAAGCAGAATGGTGGCACGAGGTGTCCAAGGCTGTGACCTTTCAGAAGCGACCGGCCAGACCTATCTTCCCAAGCACCTCTGTGTGATTTCGATCTGCCAAGCTTTTGGCTAGTCGTCCAGCACAAACAACCTGGGCCACCCAAGGACTCCTTGCTGTGGTAAAAACAATGGTTGACACTACACATACATCATGGAGACAGGAAACAAAGAGAAGCACCTCAATAAGTGACTCTATTAGCAGGAAAGCAATCTCACAGAAGGATAAAATCCACATAAGGTGAGGACCTTAGATTTTTTGGCTTGGCCACCCAAGGCAGCCTGAGGGCCCGTGGTCAGAATTTTAGGAAAAGAGTAACTTGAATTGGGGAAGAATGTCCCCAGGGGCCATCCAGAAGTATGAAGTGGTACCACAAGACTTTGAGGAGCAGGAATACTAGTGGCTTTTAGTGCCCCAGGAACCATGTTCCCACCCCATCACCAACAGGGCTCCTTGAAAAGAGAACATTGGATCGGTACCACCATGTCTGCGGTTCTGCACATCCCTCTGCTGTCCCTTACCGGGTTATGGAGCACCAGTTCTTTGAGTGCTTGTACATCCTCATTGAAAGTTGCTGACATAAGAAATGCTTGGTAAATCCTGGGCAAGTGACTGAAACAAAGCAAAGTCTAGTCAGACCCCATCTGAGCGATTCCAACTGTGGTAGCTGTGACCTGTTCTAGGCCGAACTCTAGGAATTCTTGCACGGAGAGAGAGCCTTCTTACCAGAGAAGATTCTTGAGTTCTTCTTCAAAGCCAAAGGAAAAAAGAAGATCGGCCTCATCCACCACCAGCAGCTCAAGGGAGTCACGAAGTTTCAAGTTGTTTTGCTGCAGATGGCTTAATATGCGTGATGGCGTCCCCACCACTACATCTGGCTTCTCTATCAGCACAGTTCTAACAAGACAAGCGGTCATTATCAGGAAAGAGCAGTGCTAAGGGAAGTAGTAGCTATAACCTTACCCACGATCAGCCTGCTTTCTTGTTGTACACAAACTCAATCCCACATTGCTGTGTGGCTTCATTCTGCTACATGCTACATGCTTCCCTGCAGTTTTCACCTACCTCTGAGAGGCCGAGTCCTCAGCAGCTGAGACATCAGCCACCCGGATGTCCCGAGAACAATAGGCCACCAGCTGTTGTATCATGGACTGTGCCTGCTTTGCCAGCTCCTTGGTGGGCACAAGGACAAGGCCTCTCACAGCCTGTTCTATCACCGGGCCCGTCTGTAAAAAGATGAATTAAAGTCTTTTGCCAGCTGGTTCAAGTCACCATGGTCACCTAATACCCCTCTCTACGTCTTACAAGCAATCTGGGCCACCCACTTCAACACAACTTAGATGCATTCTCATCAATCCCTTGCATACGTATGCCCACTTCAAATGTACAGTGAAGGGATCTTCCCCCCAGGCACTGCCGCTTACAAAGAGTGGCTTATTTAGTTACTTTAAATGTACCAATTATGAAGCTGGAATCTCACAATAGCTCTATGACACAGAAAAAGGAGTCCTGTTTCTTTCCTATAGAACAGCCAAAGAAATACATTTCCTGAACACTTCACCAAGAACCGTGAATGATAGACCCTAAAAAACCTCATCCTCACAGCCATCAACTAGTAGCAACCTAAAAAAAAAAAAAAAAAAACTAGTAGCAACCTATAGGACAAACCAGAACTGCCCCCTGGGGGTTTCTGAGGCTCTAAGTCTTCCGGGAAGCAAAAAGGCTCTGCTTTTTCCTGTGGAGCCGCTGCTGGTAGTTTTGAACTAGAGTTTATTTATCGTGAGCAGCCCAACTATGCATTGAGGGCCTATACTCTAACCCACAGAACCCAACAAATCTCTGGAATCAAGTGAATTCCGACTCATAGCAAACCTATCTGGGGTGGAGAAAGATTGCTCCTTTGGATTTCCAAAGCTATAAATCTTAATAGGAACGACAGCCTCATCTTTCTCCCACCAAGTGGCTAGTGGGTTTGAACTGCAAACCTTGAACTCTAGAACGTTCCAGCCCAGAACGGTTCAACGACAGCCCAACTCTCTCCAGATTCTCTCCGAAGAGCCTTCAAGGTTAAAGTACCAAGAGCAGTTAAAGTTACCAAAGTTAAAGTACCAAGAAACCGAAGAGGCAGAATGAGAAGATAGGGGAGACATGGCTTTGCAAGAAAGCACAAACGGGTAAAGACTCCGGCATCTGCTTTACCGGCCTTTTGCGGGATGTCTACTTCCTTCCCTCCGTCCTTCCCGTTACCCACCGCCTTCCTGTGGAGCAGCAGCTGCAGCATTGGAATGGCATACGCGGCAGTCTTTCCCGAGCCAGTGCGGGCTCGAGCCAGGAGATCCTTCCCCTCCAGGGCCAGCGGGATGGCCTTTTCCTGGATCAGTGTAGGTCGCGACCAGCCCAGGTCCGTGACGGCCTAGGAGAGGAGACAGGAGACACGCAGCTGAGGCGGCGCCGAGGGCGGTGGCGGCTCCACGTCCGTCCATCCCCGTTCCTCTGGGTCCCGCGGGCTGGGTGCCTCAGCCTCCCGCCGGTACCTGCAGGAGCCGGGGATCCAGGCCCATGTGCTCAAAGCCCACGCCTTCGTCCGACATGCTGCTCGCTAACCAGAGCGCGCACGCGCGGCGGGAAGACCTGGAAGAAGACGGGGACGGGTCAACGTAACAGCCAATCGCCTTCGGAGGAGGAGTCACTCCCCCAAGGACTGGAGCTCAAGTTCCGGTCTTCCGGCCGGCGCTTCCGGTTTTCACTGCGCGCAGGGCCCCGGGCCCCGGGAGCGGTTAAGCTGGGGCTTCTACCGCTCTGGAGAGGCCTTGGCCGCGATGTACCTTAGGGGGGTTTCGCATCCTTCTCCTTACACTTCTTTCCGCGGACCTGGAAGGAGCTGTCAGTGGCGTTAAAGGCTTGCAGGACGTGCTTCGCTTGGTTAGGGAGAAGAACTGGTCGTCCATAAACTGGAAAACTCAACTGCCATCGAGTTGGGGCCGATGCACAGCGACTCAGGACAGGGTGCAAGACCAACTCTTTAAGGGAGCATAAAGCCCCGTTTTTCTTTTGCGGAGTGGCTGGTGGTTTCGAACTGCTGACCTTAGTTACTAGCCTCTCGTGTAACCATTGCACCTACCTGGTGCTCCAAAGCCGCCTGGACTATGTGGAAATGGGAATATTAGAACTCTACCGTGTTCTTTTTGCCTACATGGGTCAGAAGACATTGTCCATACAATTACACACGTTCTTTTAACAGCTTCACCCTAATCATGATGCCATAATTAGTTACACTTATTGTTTTTAAATAATTAAATCATTTTATTGGGGGCTTGTACAACTCATAATAATCCACACATACATCCATTGTGTCAAGCACTTTTGTACATTTGTTTCCCTCTTCATTCTCAAAACATTTGTTTTCTACTTGAGCCCTTGGTATCAGCTCCTCATTTTTCCTCCTTCGTCCCCGCCCCGCCCCCATGAACCCTTAATAATTTATAAATTATTATTTTGTCATATCTTACACTGTGCGATGTCTCCCTTCACCCACCTTTCTGTTGTCCGTCCCCCAAGGAGGAGGTTATATGTAGATCCTTGTAATCTGTTCCCCCTTTCTCTCTCCACCCTCCCGGTATTGCCACTCTCACCACTGGTCCTGAAGGGATCATCTGTCCTGGATTCCCTGTTTCTAGTTCCCACCTATACCAGTGTACATCATCCGGTCCAGCCAGATTTTTAAGGTAGAGTTGGGATCATGATAGTGGGGGGAAGCATTCAAGAACTAGAGGAAAATTGTATGTTTCATCATTGTTACACTGCACCCTGACTAGCTTGTCTCCTCCCCGCGGCCCTTCTGCAAGGGGATGTCCAATTGCCCACAGATGGGCCCTGGGTCCCCACTCTTCACTCCCCCTCACTCACAGTGCTATGATTTTTTTGATCTTTGGTGTCTGATTCCTGATCCCTTCAATGCCTTGTGATCTCACAGGCTGGTGTGCTTCTTCCATGTGGGTTTTGTTGTTTCTCAGCTAGATGGCCACTTACTTATCTTAAGGCCTTTAAGACCACAGATTCTATATCTTTTGATAGCTAGGCACCATCAGCTTTCTTCAGCACATTGGCTTGTGCACCTGTTGTCTTCAGCGATCGTGCCAGGAAGGTGAGCATCTCAGATTGCCGAATTATTAGAACAAAGTGTTCTTGTGTTGAGGGAGTACTTGAGTAGGGGCCCACTGTCCATCTGTTTCCTTAATACTAAACCTATAAATATATGTACATAGATCTACTTGCCCCTCATCGTATATAAATATATTTATATCTGTATGTGCCTGTATTTAGATCTCTATAAATGCCCTTTGCCTCCTGGTTCTTTGCTCTTTTTCTTTGTACTTTCCTCTTGTCCACTATCATGTTCAGCCTTCATTTGGGTTTCAGGAATTCCTCTAGTTACACTTATTTTTAAAACAAATACATAGCCACTGTTCAGAACTTTCATGTGTGCTACCTAAAATCAGGTATAAGGAAAACATCGATGTGGTGAGTCGAACAACCTCTGACCATTTATTAGGAGGTGTGTACCCAATGGAACCCTAATACTGTAGCCACCAGCCACCCCACCGGAGAAAGATGGGGTGGGGCTTTCTACTCCTGTAAGGAGTTAAAATATCTGAAGCCCACAGGGGCAGTTTTACTCTGTCCTATAGGGTCACTGTGAGTCAGAATTGATCCCCCAGCCTTGAGTTTGTTTAGTTAGCCAATGTTGAATCAGCCCTGGTGGCATAGTGGATTGCATGTTGGGTTACTAACCAGCAGGCAGCAATTGGGACCCACCAGCAGCTCTGTTCCATAAGAGACGGGGCTTTCTAATTGGGAACACAGCAGGCCATTCTAGTTCGTCCCTTTAGGCTTGCTCTGGTTCAGAATTCACTTGATAATAGTGAGTTTTCGTTCTCCAATGTAGACTGCCGAGCCTTTGACTATGACCCAAAAGGATTAGGGATGAGGTGACCCCAATTAAATGAGACCCACGGTGAAATGGAGATTAGATGCCCTGGCTGGGACTGATTAACCACCATAATTTCCTCTGCAACTTTAATTCCCTTTGCCATGTTGTTACATATTCCAAGGTTGAAAACTTTAGAATGAAGACATCTTTGGGTGACCATTATTCTGCCTATAATACCACCTTACACCCAAACCTACCAAATTAGACTGGGTCTCGGTATTGCCCAGAGATCTCTGCTGAGAAGCTTCCTGGTGGATCCTGTGTCTCTGGTCTGACATGGACCCAGCTTCTGAGTATCACAGGCCAGTCTAGCTTTAAAGTCAGGCTTGAGTACTACACAGGCGTGAGGATAAAGGATCACTATGAATGAATGTACACTGTACACCCCACACACGCTTACCTGTGGTAAAAGGGGAGAAGCTGCTTGATGTTTTCTTGGATAATTAAGCAATTTCAGAAAGGAATCGTGCTAGAATTGTTGTTAGTTGCCATTTGGTCAATTGAGGAGCTTTGGTGGTGTCGTGCGCACACTTAGGGCTGCAATCCACAAGGTTGGCAGTTTGAAACCACGAGCAGCTCTGCTGGAGAAAGATGGAGCTTTCTACTCCTATAAATAGTCTCAGAAATTAACAGGGGTAGTTCTTTTTTTTTTAATCATTTTATTAGGGGCTCATCCAACTCTTATCACAATCCATACATCGTGTACAACACATTTGTACATTCATTGCCCTCATCATTCTCAAAACATTTGCTCTCCACTTAAGCCCCTGGCATCAGGTCCCCATTTTTTCCCTTCCCTCCC